GAACAACTCCATGAATAATTTAGGTTAAGGGAATGGTGCAGACCTGGAATAGGAGAGTTGTGATGCCTGAATTCAGCCCGATGTTTTGCAACCTTGCGCGAGTGTTCAGTACCGAAAAAATATGCGGGCAAACTAATGGCCATGGCACTCTTGACAAAACGCTTCAACATTTTAAAGAGATACCTGAAAAGTGGAAAAAAACATATGGAACAACATTGCATCTGAATTTCAATCTGCAGAACCAACTCAAAAAACTAAAGTAAAACAATTTCCTTGTTTTGGCGAAAACAGAAGCTTCAGACACACAAAACCGAAGTTTTGGTATGTGCATGGACTTCTTTTCTCTACAAATGTTCATAAATTTATATATTTCAAAGGCCCCTCTATTGCATTTTGGAGTTACTGGTTATGTCATCATCATCGGAGCCTTACCAACTGAGTCAACCGCTCTAACCGGGCAAGTCTCAGGTGGTCAAAAAAGTGTTGAAAAAAATAAAAAAGATACAAAAAGAAAATCTACTAAAATAATAAAAGCATGTAAAGAATGATTAAAACAAAACACATTCAAATGAAGTTGAAAATTAATGAAAAAAATGGATTTTAATGAATCGATTTGTGCTTAGGGGTATTTTTAAATTTTTTTAAAAAAGATGGGAAAATATAAAAGTGAGTATTAATGACCAAAACAATTTTTAATCTTTACCATAATGTAAAGAATATTAATAAATGCATTACAAATCAAATTCTTTATTTTTGGAAATTTATATAGATTTTTTATTTTCTATCTTTAAATACTGGTTGATTAACAAAATTGCCCAAACCGGAACTGACTAGTGGGCCGGAACTGGCGATCTAACCGGGTGGTTAGCGATTAGATCGCCCGGTTTTGCAAACACTAGGTAAAATCCAACCTAAGAGTATTTTTAGAACCCCAAATTTGAGGATGTAACCTCCACAACCTAATGACTAACCTCAAAAGAAAAAAAAATCAAATCACATTTTGTATGTTCCTGAAAAATTAACGTCCCAGGATCGAAGAGAGATCATCCAATTTTTAGACAATGAGATCTAACCGTTGAAGAACTCAATATCCAAATTGTTTTTTTCTTTTTCGAAAATAATCATCTAACCAAAATTTTAGATTAAAAAAATCCTCACAATTAGCTCTTTCTCCCAAGGGGATTAAGTGTAGGATATGCTCCCGCGGAACATATCCTATGTCAGTTTTCTATTTTAAGGTACACATAAGATCAGTTCTAATGTCTTTAAACTGGTGCTTTTTGTGGATCAGTATATTACGACTTTGTTTCAACACTAAATCGAAATTGAAAACTATATAGTCAAAGTACTACGTTGCAAGTTGTAATTAATCAAATACTAAGTTTCATGTCAGGAGGTACAAGTTGGTTCAAATGAAAAGCTCAAAAATGCAAAAAGTAGGCCCAAAAGGACATGAATGGAAGTAGTAAGTAAAAAATATGGGACTTATGGCCTTAATGAGGGTATGGCCCTTGATAGAGCAGAATGACGGACCAGGATTCATGTAGCAGACCCCAAATAGTTCGAAAATGCTCTGTTGATGATGATGATGATCATTTAATTCTAATAAAACCTTTCAAAACTTTTAAGATCCATACAAAGGTGCTCCCCACCAATTATGGAACTCATGACTTCTGACAAACAACGGTGATATTGGACACAAGCATGAATATCTCTACAATGTCTTTCTCAATACCAATCAACAGCATCCCTTGTGATTTCTAGCAGAGTACATGAAGGTGGCATTCACAATAGGTTTCAAGCTACACTGGGTGTCCATTAATATCCCATCTGCAATATGCAGATGGTAAGTCCATTTTGTATGAAGCCATTACTCAACAAATGGCTTCATTGTGGCTGTTCCTAAAGTGTTTCAGTCACCTCAGGGCTTGGATTGATATACAAAAGACTACGTTATTGGGTATTGGAGTGGATGATGAAAGCATGAAACTACCGTGATAGTGCCTTGGTGATGGAAGAGGTTCCCTGACGAACAAGTATTTAGGCCAGCCAATATGTACCTGTGGTTGAAAGGTTTCAATAAAAGCTAGCAACTTGGAAGACTGGTTTTCTTATCACCAGAGAAAGGAATAGCTCTAATCAAAACTACCCTATCCCACCTCCCAATATACAACACATCCTGTATAGAATTACCATGTCAATGCTACACAAAATAAAGCACCTTAATTTCTTATGGACGGGTCCTCTAAAGTCTTAAAACACTATAACTACCACCTTGTAAAATGGGAATCTGTATGTATGCCAAAACGGAAGGGGCCTAGGCAATAGAAGGCTTGAAGAGTTCATTCCAGATTACTGGCCGAATGCTTATGGAGATCTGCAGAAATGGAAGATCATTTTTATAGCACCAGCTTATAGAACACCAATATGGAGCAACCAGTCTGATTGGTTTGGATTAAGTAACCAGTTGTAGGGACTCAGATGTTGGGAGTTTGAAAGAAAATAAGCTGGATGGTAACAGTAACCTAACTGAGTGCTTTCCCAGCTTGGCTGCTCTAGCTACTATCCTGAACACTGCCGTTGCAGATATTATTCCAACGTCAGGAGACCAATGTGTATGGTGTACCACATTCAAGCTGCTCTAGCTACTATCCTGAACAATGCTGTTGCTGATATTATTCCAACATCAGGAGACCAATAGGTATGGTGTACCACATTCAAGAGAAACTTCAAAGGCAACAAGCTTGATGAGGATATAGCCAAATGAGTTGTTTGCAAGAGCCTTTATGATGCAATTTGAAATTAGGAATAGGTTACATGAACTTTATTTAAAATTATTTTTTTAATTTGTTTTGGGCATATGCATAACATTTTTATTTTTGTACTATTTTTTTAATTTGTTTTGGGCATATGCATAACATTTTTATTTTTGTTGGTCGAATTTTGAGCTTAAAGCAGGAGGGGACTAAAAGGGGATTTAATCTGATGCGTTGAGTAGGATGGGTGGTCTCTTGTTTTAGGATTAATGTGGATCTCCTAGTTTGTTAAGACTTTCTTTTATGGATTAGCTTTTGGAGTGGTTAGGAGAGGAAATGGAAGTGGTGGACGTGAGCTACATGGAATCTCCTATATTCATAGGATTTAGTTGATATAGAGAGATTTTGGAGGAGGTTACATGAGAATGAGAGAGAGGGAGATTTACATGAGAGAGGGTTACGGAGAGAAAATATGGGGGAGAGAGAGCTTTTTGTGGTGTTTTTTTTTATTTTAGTAGACCCCAAATAATTGGGAAAAGGCTATTATGATGATGATTTCTTTTAGTTGTATTTGAAGAGGAATGACGTCCCTCTTTGGAACTTGGTTAATTGAGAAGACATAAGTTGTTTTGATCTTATGAAGGGATCTTTGGGGTGGACTTGCTTGTGGACCCTAAGCGAGCGAGAGTACATTTTCTTATCTATTTATTTTTACGTTTTATTTTATTTAATTCTTTTCCATCTTTCCCTGCATCAGTTGGTATCAGAGCGAAGAAGATACAAGCATCACAATGCCACCAAAACCTACTGTTGTGATCAATGATTTAATGCCACATATTATAGAATGTGTAAATAAATTAATAGAGGATAACCAAGTAGATATTGGCATAATGAATAAGAAGTTGCAACGGTAGGACACCAATCTTCAAGAAAGGGTGCTCGCAACCATGAAGATCCGACTCCACATTTCACCATAGAGATGAATAAAGTCCCAAGAACGACTCGGGGTGTCGATCCCGAACGTAACAAACAAATCTACCAGCAAGAACCACATCCTGTAGAGAGCCCATGACATCTCGGTATTAAAGCGGATCTCCCTATTTCATGGTAAGCTCTTTATTGTGCGTGGAAGCTCTAAACCCGATGGGTTAATATTTGGCAAATAAAGTATGAGAAATAAAGCATGAAACACATACAACAATAATACAAAGATTTACGTGGTTCACCCCAAAAGGGCTACATCCACAGGCATGGCAAACAGAAATCCACTATAGCAATGAAAGTTATATCAAAGATTTTGGAACAAATCTCGACAAAAATACAGTCGAGCAAACCCTTTTAATCTGACAACCATTACTGACAACACCATATAGAGACGCGAGAGCAACGAGAAACTGACCGACTCTCTCTAACTAAAAGGGAAACCACCCAAAATCTCAATGGGAACTGCTTCTCTACAAGAAACAAGCCTCTCAATCTTTGGGAGTCTAAAAGAAGCACCATCACAATGTTTTTGTCCAAAAGAAGTTCACTTCTGTCAAAGAGGAAACCTTGCATCTTATGCACAGGAGGTCGTGCCCCCCCCTCTCTCTATAGAGGAACCACCATTCCCATATGGTGTCCCAAATAGGGCGATTTCTCTGCACGTTCATCCCATATATATAAGATTATGAGTCCATAGTAAATAGGAAACTTCCTATTGATGCTACGTATATCTCAAAATCCAAGAGATAAATCCAAAAGTCCTAATCTTTTTGAATTTCTATTTTCTTTAGGAAACTTATCAATATCAATCTCAATCCTTATGGGAATATCTCAATCCCACAAAATATGGGATTATCTAATATTGGTGATTTTGGATAGCACCAAATCCAACACTCTCCACATTTTATTAATTGGTTGAGTGCAGTAGATTTTTTTTTTTTTTTTAATAGAGTGAATTGCTAGAGGAGCATAAGGTTAAACTTGTTATAAGCAAGCTCATTTAGTATGTTGCCGGCTGATGGGAACACGTTCAATAATCTTGACTTCGCAGTGGGAAGGCAAAAAATTATGACTATCAAAAGATGAAAAAGAAATTGAAATAAAGTTTTCTTAATAAAATTTTCTTCCAGTGGATCATGAGCAAATTTTCTTCCAAGATCTTCAACAAAATGAAAAGAAAGTAGATGATTATACTGGGGAATTTTATAGACTTGTGGCTCGAAACAACCTCCAAGAGACTAAAGGGCAATTGATTGCTCAATACGTTAATAGGCCCCAACCAACCATTAGAGTTGAGGTCTTTCTACATCAGCCATGTAACTTAAGCGAAGCTTTTCAAATTGCTTTACGAGTAGAAAAGAAATTCTAATGAAGTATTAATAAGTACTTTTTTACTAAGGAGGCTTTGCACCATCCAAAATTTAATAAAGAAAAGAAGGATTCCTCCAAGGATACTTTTTTTCGGTGTAATGAAAGTAGGCACCCTGCATATAAATGCCCAAAAAGAAAGACGGAGGTACACTTGGCTAAAAAAGTTTATGAAATTCAAGATGAAGATCAACACCCATAAATACTCTTGCATGGGGATGAATTGGTCAATCAAGTTTGATTTCAAGCTTGAGTTCGAGCTTCTCCCAACCCGAGGAGGATGATGCAAATTGAATTTAGGAAATAGGTTATTTGAATTTTATTTTACTTTATTTTATTTTTTTAGGGCATAGACGTAATATTTTTATTTTTGTTGGCTGAATTTTGTGCTTGAAGCATGAGGCGACTAAAAGGGCATTTTAATCTAATGTGTTGAGTAGGATGGGAGGTCTCTCATTTTAGGATTAACGTGGATATCCTAGTTGGTTAGAATTTCCTTTACGGATTAGCTTTGGGAATTGTTAGGAGAAGGAATGGAAGAGGTGTATGTGAGCTACATGGAATCGCCTATATTTATGGGATTTTGTTGATGTAGAGAGACATTTTAGGGGGGTTACGCGAGATTGAGAGAGAAGGAGATTTACATTGGAATGAGAGAGGGTTAGGGAGAGAAAAAATGGGAGAGAGAGAGAGTTTTTGTGGTTTTTAAATTTTATTTTTTATTTATTTTAGTTGTATTTAAAGGGAAGAACGTCCCTTTTTGGAACTTGGTTAATTAAGAAGCAAGAAGTTGTTTTGATCTTGTGAAGAGTTTTTTTTTTTTTCTATAAATCTTGGGATAGACTCCCTTGTAGACCATTGGCTATTGGCTATGTTGGATCTTGTGAAGAGGTACTTGGGATAGACTCCCTTGTAGACCCTGAAAGAGGGTATATTCTCTCATCCCTTTATTATTATTTCTATTTTTAATTATTTATTTCCCATCTTCCCTGCATCACTTTTGTACCACACAATAAGGAGGACAAAGTAGGAGGCCAGAGAATAGGATCGTCCTCTCCATGTCCCTCATGTATCCAGGTTTAATTGATAACAACCGAACAGCAATAATATCAAGTAGGGCACGAAAGCTATTAGCACCACCTCGAGCTGAAGCAGTTGTCTGATTGTCGATATTTTAGATAAGATTCTCACTGTACATGATCTACAAGACTACAACATGGGGGCCTCGAAATTCCCAATTGGAGTGAAATGTGCAGGCCTGATGAGGAGTGTGTTAATCAACTGTCAATACACTGTGAAGTAGCACAAGAAGCCTGGGACTTTCTTAAACCACTTCAGTTTCTCATGGGTGAGCCCGCCCTCAGTAGAAGGCCTATTTCAGCAATGGTTTTCTAACAAAATACCACAAGAACGCCTAATTGCATGGAGGGTAGGGGTGGCAGCAATGGTATGGTCTCTTTAGAATGACAAAACCAATCAGAATTTTCAGGATCCCCTAAGGAATAGGCAGGCATTAGAGATAGCATCAAATTGCACATAGTGGTTTGTGCAACACCAAAAGGAATTCAGATGTCACTCAAAGGTGGATTTGGACAACCACTGGCAATCTCCCGCCTGAAGCACGTTACATAAAGACACCCAGTGGATTTGGACAACCACTGGCAAGCTACTACCTGAAGCACGTTACATAAAGACACCCAATCATCAAAGTGGTTGCCCCACAAACATGGAATTGTAAAGCTGAACTACAGGGCAACCCAGGCCCTTCGGGACTCCCCCAAAGAGAGGCCCTCAACAGTAGTTGAGGCCCTCAACAGTAGTTGAAGGTAATTCAAGAATACCAACTAACCTTTGAGATCAGGATTCATTTTTAAAGAAATTTTTGCAATATCACCAGGATGTCTATGTCATGAAGCCGCATTTGTGGATACTTGATGGGAGTCAAACCCTCTGCTGATGCTCTAGCTAGAAAGGGTGCTGCTCATAGATTGGCGCCTTTTACCACAAGTTCAGCCTCAGTGTAGAGCTTCATAATTTTGTGAACAGGTCAGATGCAGTTGTTACAGAAATTATGTACATTAACATCTTACAGAAATAAAATACATACAGAAAAAAAAAAGTTGCTTCACCGCCATGCAAAGAATATCTTGTATTAAAAAATAATAATAATAGCATTGCATAAAAACGTACATGAGTTGAATGCTTATTAGTACAAGGAAACAGCAGGCCATATGAGTAATGACCTTGGACTACAATGAGATTAATGTAGGAATACCTAAGATAACAAATGTGCACAATTAGTTGTTGATCCTGATTCAATAAAGAAAGGTGGTTGTGAGGAAGTTGATATGAAGCTATTCATTTTAGAAGCATCTTTTTTTTTTTGTCATTTTCAAAGGTTCTTCGTCACTCTCACAGGAAAGGTACTGGGTATATGGTCATGATTTGGTTGACATACTCTGTCATAGTGGCTCATTAAAGTCGCAAGTTAAACAACAAAAGGAAAATCATGAGAAAACAAAGAACGCAAATTGTGAAACACATAACATAGTACTTGGGAGAGATGGAGCATTTGGTCTTATCCATGACATCAATCCCACAAATTTTGTGGTTTTAAATTTTCCTCTCCTTTCCCCATTTTGTGGTTTTAATTTTTCCTCTCCTTTCCCCATCTATGTATACATCTCAGTCTGTTTTTACCCTCTGTACAACTTGATGTTTATAGCACATTTCAGCCATGAATGATAGTGACAAGTTGCACATCTCTCCAATAAAAGCCAAGAACAGTGACAAGTTGAATACGTTTCCACAAATAGGCAGTGTTTCATTTACCGTACAAGCAAAACTCAGAGATTTTCAGACAAAAGTTATAAAGTGGCACTAATTTCTACAATTTACTCTTGAAATTTCTGCATTATAAATCCAATAGCTAGATGAAAACCAAAACATCATTTGATAAATTAGACCTGTTACATTCGGTACAAGCCCTTGTTTCTTGTGATCAAAATGTCCCTATAATTGAGCTGAAAAAAAAAATCAACGGAAACATACCTGAATAAATCAAGAATGAATCGTGGCATGAAAAAGTTCCTTGCAGTTAATGAGATAATAACTTCAAAAATCAATATTCCAGTTGCCAACAGTGCGTCAAGGGAACTCTAGATACAGCAAAGGGCTTGTGAAGTCAGTATTTCTCTTGAAAGGGATTATTGCATTATGTCATAACAATATATAAAGAAAGAAGAGAACCGAAAGACAGAGACATGCAGACATGGGTATAACTATCACATGGACATGCAAACATATCCACAAGCATAGCAGAAAGTATGAGAAAATCCAAGTTACTTTTAGAAGTTAAATCATGAAAGGAACAATGTAAACTAGCAAATCTCAAATCCAGAAGATATCTGCATCCCAAGGAGAAGGGATTCAGCATAAATTTAAGATCTCTGATCAGATAAGGGGGACGCATGGGACCACCCCGCGACCATGGAGAGCTGCATGTACAAAGTAGAGTCCAAAAAAATGTTTCACATGTTGGTATACGTCAAAGGATCCCTCGATTTGTACTAAAATGTTCACATCTTTTGGGCTTTGCATTGTAGGCCCCATCATAAAAGACTAGGACAATTGGGACAAGAAATGAAAGTGATATAAAGATCTAATGCTTGCGTATACTAATGGAAATATCCAAATGCATACCTGAAGTATCATAACTGCAGAAACAATCCGAATTGACCATTTAATGAAAGTTGCAGTACTAGCATCAACAGAGCCATCTTCAGAGAGGACAAGTTTGCGAACACCCCAAAATCCCAACCAGGCCCCAGCCAGGCCTAAAGAAATCATCACAAATATAGCCACCTGCAAAATGAAACAACCCAAAAACATTAAATTATACCAAGCATCACCAGATCCAGTGTAAATTTTCAAGGCCAGAGAATACCTAATAAAATAAAGATGGTGTTCATTGTGCATTAAGGTAAGAAGAGTTCATTGTCAATTAAGTAAGAAACATTATTCATACAACAATCTATCCATGGAATCAATTTATATGAACAATACGCTTACATACAGGATTGTACATGTCATTGCTGATTCCCATCTCCTCAAGCATTGAACGCAGCAGTACAGATACGTGGCGAAGAATAACAGAACCCACGCCCACCTGCCTCATAAACAAGATAATGTCAGCTTTAGATGGATGAGTAGATGTTTATTTAATACAATCAACCAAAATGTAATTGTACCTTTGAAGCAACAAAGCAAATGACTTACAATAGACCCGTAGAGAAAAATTGCAAGCGATCTCTTCCGGCCTGTTGGTAGCAGCTTCATCCCCTGTTATGGGAAATGTAAGTCTTTGAGACAACTATGGAGTAAAAACGTATTCGAAAGAATGATACCTTTACAGCAGACAAAATTCAGAAAAACATGAAGGAAAGTGACTTGGGGCATGTCCACAATGTAATCTTACAAGGTTACCAACTTATCAAGTGCAAGAATTTTGAAAAAATAGCATATTTAAACTGAAGCCATATCTTTCAAGAGAATGAGCAAGGGCTCCAAGAAAAAAAATCAATCAGATATGGCAGGGACTTTAGGAAACAAGCCAGTGTGAATGAAAATAGGGGAAGAATGCTATAATCTGAAAAATTATGGAAAGCCTACGTCCATTGGGGCCGTCGCTTCCCAATGAAATGGATGAGAGAGAGTGGTCATCAAAACAACAATGTATCAAAAACTCCACCAAAATTGGAAGCATCAATGGAAACATGTTTACTATGCACATGGTCATGTGCAGGGAGCCATCTTATCTTGACCCCTTTCAAAGCATAGGAAAATAAGCGACATGAATATCCAAGTGATAGGTTAGACAGAAAGGCCTAACCCGAACCTTATCACAGATCAACTAGTACCAATGGTTCTCATTTGGTTTCCAAATTTCCTCCTCATTATGCTGCTTGAACTCGGTGGATGTCACCTCCTACCGCACCCTCATTGGTAGAGGATGTCTCATCCTCCGTGGAGCAGCGCAACAAGGCAATCATTCAACGAGGATATCAGAGTTAAGATGTGGGAGGCCTGTCAACCCCTTTCCTTAGCATAAATCACACATAAAGGTCCACTCGACAAAACATCTTACAAAGGACCCACAAGTCCTATACATCTGTGGCCTACTTTGGGTAGTTTATTATCTCTCTTGGTGACCCAATTCTTTAGACTGATGAACCTCTTATGAAGTACCTTCAACCTTGACCAACCTTGGGCAAGATGCAAAATTGGTCCGGCTAGGTGCATGGATGCACACGCCCATGTGGTCAAGAGACAAAAACCCTTGGTGCGAGACCCTAGGAAAGTGGAATGGATATATGACTAAGATGGTGGGACTTGGTTGACCATCAAGTCTAACTGGCTGAGGCTTGGTTGGTTGAAATCATAGGCAATATCACAAAATGGGACATGGGCATGGTCCATGTGTAAGAGGTAATTGACTATAGTCATACACTTGGTTCAGCAGGTGTACCGACACCAATAGTCAAGTGAGGGATTCGAATTCAAAATGTGTAACCACCCTAGATATGAGCTTGTATAATGGTCGTAGGTCATGTGAGAAAGAGTTAGTGCACATGAAATGGGTAGAGGCATTAAGAGCAGTATAATGACTATGCATGTCTGAATTGGCATTCATAAATAGTAATGACCCCTAGAGTGGGTTGACTAGACCCTTAACCCCCTTAATGAGTCATGTGGCCAGCCATTGATAGTGAGGTGTGAGTTATTGTAACTGCCACCTAGGTGATGGGCAGTAATGGTGGTGTAGGACTTAATGGCCATATAAATAAGGGAGAGTGTAAGGATGCATGTTTGCCACTATATGAACCCTTGCCCAGACCCCTTAGAGGCACTTGCTTGTTTGCATCGACCCTCTTGAGTGTGCTTGTGGAAGGATGGCCTTCCCTTAGTCGAGGTTCGACTTAAGCTTGGCACCACACACCTGAGCCAAATGAAAAACTAGGCCTGGTGACACCAAGCTCACCAGATAATAAAAAAAATGCATCACAAAAATAGCCATAATACATGCACTCCCATTGCAACACCATTAAAAAGTATGCACTCCCATTGCAACACCATTAAAAGCATGCACTCCCATTGCAACACCATTAAAAAGTATGCACTCCCATTGCAACACCATTAAAAGCATGCACTCCCATTGCAACACCATGAAAAAGCATTTACGCCAAAGATGGCTATTTAATGTCATCCATACAACATAAGATGAAATGGAGACAATCGCCACATCAGAGTGGTTACAGCAAGAATAAAATTAATATGATAGTCCTAAGATCACCCTCAAGTGTCAAATATCCAAACATAAGAGCATAAACAAATAAATTTTAGACATGATCAATTACCTATTGAATTGCGAAAATCATTTGTTAAATAATTCCACATATTATTGTCTCTTGGGAAGGAAATGTCATATCTTAAGAGCAGAAGTGTCATAAAAGACGTGGGTCAAGCGCTCTTCTTATGATGAGACGTGAAAGTGATCTGCACATAACACCTGACCAATGAACTTTAATGAACACAAATGTGCAGTTTGTTGCAAATTGTAAATCAGTCAACTATGAGATAGGTGGTTCTCATGTATCCCAAGTTCCAATATTCTCAATTGTCTAATTCTACCCAAGAAGCTCAAAGCCTCATATCAAATTGTTAAAGTTCAAGAGAGCAACTGGAGGCCGTCCTTTTACAACAACTTCTTCACAACTTGCAACATATTATAGAAGCTCTCAGATTAACAAGTTAATTTGAGAATGGGAAGTGACATGCATAATATAGAACAGGTCAGCAGCAGTCATATCCTAAGGTGAAAACTAAAAACTTAAAACTAAACATCATCTCAATTGGCTAAGGGAACTTCCAAAACTAAGAGAAAAATTAAATTTACTTGTCACTAAAATTGAAAGAAGAGATGTTCAAAATCCCCCCAAAAAACTGGAGGATGACACTAGAACCTGATGTCAATGGCATTTTACACAAGACGCCTGGCCCCCAAATTTCCTGACGGGAAAGGTGCGTGAGAGCATCTCAGCACAAATCGACTCCAAAATTAGAGGGAATGCAGTATTTTTTGGGTGCCCTCATAAAAAATAACTGAACATGTCAGCTAGTTCACACACAGATCCTAAAACCAAACATCACTCTTTACATAGATAGTCTACTAATAAAAAAATTTGAATTGTCAATCATGACTAAATGTGTAATATTCAGGATGGAACAATTGAGCTAATAATATGCCCAGGGCACCAATCACTAGAACGACAATGCTTATCTAGTTTAAAGCCAATTAGTTCTAATAGATTGAATGAACAAAGATAATCCACGCACCTGAAAGAGGACTATCAATATGACAAGCATTATACCAATAGCCATTGCAGTGCCATAGTAGAAAGTCACACACTCGCTGATAGCAGGTGCTAATGCCATCATTAATAGTCCCATGGTGAGAAAGAATAAGCGATATAACTTGAATTCTGCAAATATATAGGTCAGGTCAGAAATAGTCACTAACCAACTGAGCATTTTCAATCAGCTAACAGAATTTAAAACAAATAAATGCTTACCTTCTTCAATGGATACCTCAATAACCTTTAAGAATGGATCAGGCATTCGTATATCGAGAAGCCTGCTATCATAAGGTGATATAGTCCATACCAATGATCCCTTTGCAAGCATCTCCCACTTACTCGAAGGGCACATCCCAACTTCAATGGAAGCATTCCTGCAGTAAAATGCCACTAACTAACTAAAAGTTACAAAACATTGTAAAATATTAACATATGATCTTTAAACAAAGACATTGTCAAAGACCAATAATGTGAATTCTTTCACCAAAAATGGCACACACGAAGCATGCTAAGCAATAAAAGTAAGAGCTCACCTATGGAAACATACTTCAACCTTGTGGGAGTGAAGACTCTTGGTTGGTTCAGTAATATTCACCTTCACCTTCATAGAATTGGCATATCTCAGTAAATTGTGAATCCTAGAAAGGCCAATGATGCGGATTCTTACAGCTTTCACTGGGGCACCAATCTTAGAACCTGGAAAGCTTCCTGACAGGCCAGAAGATATATACAGTGTAATAGGATTGGCAACATCTGCGAAAAAAACACAACCCCTTCAATAACACAATAGACTGGACTACTCTTTTGGATCACTGTTCTCAGGTAAGTGGAAAATTGAATTTCTTTTTTCTTTTCTTCTTTTGGATTTCCATTTTACATTGGTTGGAAGGGAGGAGAGATATGAGATACAACACAATATGCTATGGGAAACAACTAAGCAGTAAATAATTAGACACACATAAATGGCAAACCAATTGCATAAACGAGCACCAAATGAGGTGTTTCGTAAATAAAGATTGACACCTCAAGAAGGTCCAAAAGGAATGCACTTAGCACACACATTCAAGCACTTGACCGATCATCAGAAGTTCCCAGGTGAAAACACTTAGGCTAAGAAGATGCCATCCAGGGAACACACTGAAAGTTAAATTGTTCAGTTTAAAACATCAAAAAATATAATAAGCACCTAAAAAAGTTACCAAATTGGAAAAAAAAGGCACTTTATGATTGAGATATAATTACCAGTTTCTAGCCCTAACCCAAAAAAAAAAACCGAAGAAGCTTATTAAGAAGCAGTAGGAAGTCAGTAGCTACAGGCAAAAACAGGTACAGTAACTTGAAGTTGAAAATGAGGAATCTCTCGACTTCAAAATCAATTAATAGAATTATATATAAGATGAGCAATAAATTTGTCTTTCCATTGCTAAGTCTTATACTAAGTTAAACTTCTTCCCCGGGATCGAGAAAACATCAAATTATCACTCAACACCAAAGGTGATGAGAACCTTGGAAAGATACACCCATGATATGATTCCATGCTTCAGTGTTGTACTTCATGATTCTACATTTCAGTATTTTATTTCAATTTTCTTTAAATTGGATATGTCGTATGAATCTTAGGCTCTACCAATTTACCACCAAGAGAAAAATTAGAATGGAACATCCAAAGAGAGAAAAATTCCATCACCAAGAGGCAGGGGAAATGCTATGGAATCTCATCACTAAAAACTAAAATGCTCAGAAATTTGCTTACAATTTCAATTCTTTTCAAAGCAACACATTTTCAGTCTAGTGCCATTGGAAAGGCAAAATAATTGAAACTCGTCGTTACAAGAAGAAGAAGAAGAAGAGAAAGCAAATCAGTGAAAAAAATCCCTAATTTTCACCAGAACTCGTATTTCCAAAGAAACCTAACAGTCATGGTCATTTAAATCCGAATAGAATCAAGGTTCATAACAGAGAAATTCAGGCATTCAAAGTCGAAAACAGATACAGAGACAACAATCCTCACCTATCACAAGTTCTCGCCTTGAGTCATCCGCCATTATAGAAGAAGACTGTAAAATGATGGAGAGAACGAACAAGAAACTCATACGATTACAGCTCCAACACTCCATTACGGACTCTTTGCTCTATGCAGAGGATTTCGGAAAATTTCTTTTGGGAATTGTGGGACAAATATTAATAATAAATTAATAATACATCCGTTTCTTTGTTTGCGAGTTTATTTATGAGGGAACTGGACACACCTGTTGTTGAATAAGGGCACGTCGACACGAATCGGACGCGACATTGAGAGGCGGTTGGGAATCTGGACGCAACCAATGGATAAAAAATAAAAAAATGAGCGTGGTTTGTACAAGGCTGCCCTGCCCCAAACAATTGATGTACTTCTATAAAAAGTGCTGAAAGGTGATATTTGATGGTTAAAATATTGGTAAATTATCGCTAATATACCCCATTGAAAAAAAAATTTAACTTCTCGTAATCTCACCCACACCATTTTACCTTATTTTATGTGAAATTTCGGATGAAAATGTCATTTACATTGTACCATAAAAATAATTACGATAATTTTATGACCGTTATGTCTTAGTACCGTAATGTTCATTATGGTACTCTTAGTACCGTAACGGTTTTTAAACTATTACCGTGTTAAGAGATTTTTTTTATTAATTATCGATTCATCCTAATCTTGGGCTATTACGGTACTCTTAGTACCGTAATGTTATTACTAAAAGTACCGTGATGGTTTTTTTTATTATTATCTTGAAGCATTACAATACTCTTAGTACCATAATGTTATTTAAAACCATTACGATACTAAAAGTACCGTAATGGTTTTTTTCTTAATTATATTTTTTTACTAATCTTAGAGCATTACAGTGCTCTTAGTACTGTAATGTTATTTAAAACCATTACGGTACTAAAAGTACCGTAATGGTTTTTTTTTATTTTATCTTGGAGCATTATGGTACTCTTAGTACTGTAATGTTATTTAAAACCATTATGGTACAAAAAGTACCGTAATGGTTTTTTTTTTTTCCCTTAATTATATCAATTGACCAATCTAGATTACGATATTAAAAATACCGTAATTGTTTTTATGAGACAACGACTACCGTTAAGGGCATTTTCGTCCAAAATTTTGTGAAAATGGGGCAAAAGGTTGTGGGTGAGGTTTTGGGAAGTTGGGATTTTTTTTCCAATTTCTTGAAAATATGGGTATATTGGCGATAATTTCCCTAAAATCTTTTAAATGGCTTGAAAACTTATTTTATTTTTAATTATAGAATTTAAATTTTAAAAAGATTAGATCAAGGCAAATCTATAAATATTTAGAAAATATTAAAAATCGATGGCTCAGATAATGCATTATAAACTATACTATTTCTCAAACTTAAATATTAAAAATCAATGGCTCAGATAATGCATTATAAAATACAATATTTCTCATCCTTAAATTTCATGTTTTTCACCTCTACACATCTTGAAGTCTAGGTGATCAATTTGATGGTAAAAATTGAAAACTCATCCTCTAGTGAATTGTTGAGGTGCACTTTAATTTGATTGTTTAGGGCCTCAACCTTATATAAACTCTTTTCTAAGTTAAATACCACACCAAAATTTAATATGAGCCCTTGTACATTAAAATCCGTTGAGCCTATAATTTATACAATGCAATATAATTGAGCAATATAAATTGTGCCTAAAAAATTGTTTAAAAAAAAATTTAATACGACCAACATTTTTTCATCAAAACCTTTTTCCTATTAATTGGGGTAGGCGATGAACATTGTGTAATTACATTAATTGGTACAAATATCAGGGCATATAAAATGACATGTGTAAGCATAATGAGCCAAACACTTATTCTTAAATAATAAATTCCCCTTATAATGTAGTGGAAGTGTGGAACTAATACATTTATCAAAGGGTGTGGTTTCTATAAGGTTGAACTTTAAACAATCCAAGTAAGACATACCTCTAAATTTTATCATAACATGTAA